TTGCTTGCACATGTAGTTATGAAACTCTTCACATAAATGATTTCTACTGAAGCATTTCGAAATAAATACAATTAATTTTACAAATAATTTTGCTTGCACGAATAGGCACTTACCATTTTGAGGCTTACTGAAGAAAGTGTGAAAAACTGTAGAGTTTTAAACGAATGAATCCACTTTTGTATCGTTTAGTGCATTATAATACGTAGTGCTAATTTAAGTTTCTGACTTCTTGGCTGTCCGGGTGACGCCGCGTCGTTGGCAGAGAGGCCGACGTTTCGCCTGTCATATCTCAGGCTTCTTCAGTGAGGTTGTCACTACCCTGAAGAAGCCTGCTATATGGCACGCGAAACGTCGCCCTCTCAGCCAATGACGCGGCGTCACCTGGACAGCCAAGAAGTCATGAACTCGGCCCGCGGGAGCCTACGTGTACAATTTAAGTTTGTGCCCGTAGGAATGAATAAATACAGAGTGACTGTTGCTTAATTATTGTTTGTACACCACCTTAAGTACCGAACATTACTGAAATGCAATTATATGTTTGAGAGAACAGCTTCTTAACAGTTTTACTATCTTCACATTAATGAACACGGTTGCTAAACATTGATCAGTTTTGTCTCTCAACACATCGAAGAAAATAGTTCTTGCATTGCAGGGTTCCTATAGTACCAATATACAATACTGAACTGTGATTGGCAAGAGTCATCTAACGTTTCATCAGCGTGAATTAACACTAATTTGTTGGAATTTAACTCCTTTTGTATTCTATCCTTCACCACTAATGTTACACACTATTAATTCATTTTGAAAATCACTACAGATCTCGTACAAACTGCTTTCCTATGCTCTTCTAGCATTTCCAATTTTTTTTTTGAAACTTAATGTAGCTTTTAAACGTCTAGGTAACAACCACGAATATCAATTTAGAATTTACAAAAGATTATATATTTTTTTTACAATTATTGTATTATACAATTACAGTTCATAAAAACATTCAATTGTAACAAAGTGTCAATATTTTGAGTACTTACATCATTGGAATAGGTACACATTCATATTTATTTAGAATACAGAGGCCTTTGATACTAATAACATGTTTGAAGGGTTATACTTGATGAGCTGTAGCTAAAGGATGGTCTGTATGTTAAGGTGTCAATTTTTGAGGTAATTAAAAGTTGCAAAACATACATTCATAGACACAGACATACATTCTTCCGGTGACGAGAAGGAATTACATCTTAAGTATAAGGACTGTCTTTTATGCGCTAGTTAAACGTTAAAGAAAAAGGGAATCCTGGGACAAGTGGAATGGACTTGAGAGAGCAGGGCTGCAAAGGTTGAAACCATCATTATCTGATAATCCACCTTTTTTAAATGCAGAATTAATTAATAAGTAATTCATGGATGGTATACTACAAACAACTACTGATCCAAAACGCGAGTATTTTGAAGATGAAAATATAGTTTGTGATGCGGAGAACTCAAAATCCGAATTCAACTGATTAGCGGCTACACGTTGCTAAACGCATGACGAATACGAATTTCAAGATATGTTCAGAAAGTTTTTCAGAAAATCCAATAAGTTACCTTGAATGTTCTTTGAGATGCGATTACGGTGGTTGAAAAATAATTTCGTAAGCTTTCTCAGTATCAAGCGAAACAACAATTTTACGCTGGTTAATTGCTAGCCATTCTCAAAGCCATTCCTCAATGATTCTACCTCTACGATCAGTTTCAGATCCAGGACCATTAAAATCTCCCAGGATGATACATGGTGTTGGGAGTTGCTTAACAATGTCCTCAAGTTCAGTGACGTTTATGACTTGGCTGTTAGGCAAATATAAGTTACAAATTGTAACACTGAAATTAATTTTAATTCTAACTGCAGTTGTACCAGTTCCGTTTGAAGAGGAACATTATGTTTAAAATACACTGGTTTAGTATAAACTGCAACGCCACAGCCGTCAATGTTGAAATTATTTCTATTACAAAATGTAGATCTGAGGCCAACCAATAAGTCACAATTTTGAAACTTAAAGTAAGTTTGTTTCGTAAAATCAGATTGTTTTGGGTTTGAATGTTTTAAATGAGAAGCTTTATGAAGTGTTTTCGTGCAAAACGCCATTATAATTCCATTGTATAATGTCAATTGTAAATAGCTAAATAAGTTTAATTTATCTTAAGTGATTATGAACCCTAATGATATTTAGTCATAGGATACGTAACTTATTACAACATGTTTTCTGTCAACATCAGGAGTCAAAATGTGTATGTGTTTATTTCATTTACAATCAAGGTAAACGTCCTGGTGTGAATACATGTCTCATGTACAAAATCGTAATAGGTTTATGTAATTAGTTGTAATTGTTATGTAATTTGATCTTATTTTAGTGATGTATTTCTCATCGGATGACTGAAACACGAAATCCTTCGAAACGGTTGTGTTCTTTCAAAAATATCAAAAATTAACTATTTTTATGAACTGTTAAACTTTACTCCAATTGAAATGCATGATTGTCTGTAAATCAATTAAACCTGTTTTAATTCAACAATAATAAATTTATTTTTCGGGCAATAAATTAGTAATACATAAGTACTAAATATTTATATTAGTTTGATTCGATTGTGCCCGTTTATTAAATATGGTTCTGCCTGACGCAGCTTGACAGTTGCGTCAGTACAACCACATTTATTTATTAGAAGGGAACAGTAATAATTTAATATTTGGGTAATAAAATAGTAATAAATTTGTAAAAAATATTCATATTATTTTCAATCGATTGAGCCCGTGTTTTTCAAATTGTTTGTGCCAGTCTGACAAGCATGCAATATTTTGTGTCGCTCACTGTGAATCGATGCTATGGAATTTCATCCAATAGAAGAAATGTTCACTTCTGATGAATCAAAGAAAGAAATTAAAAATCAACCAATAATTGTATATACGGTATGATGTAGGGATGTGGTATCCTCATGATGTTTCAAGAAAACCAATCACTCATATATTTTAAAATATAATTATTTTTATTCTCATCACGCACTAAAAAACTAGAAAGTTTCGCGACACATTACGGACGCATCATCAGGTAGATTGAAAACAGGCAGTTATAAGAATTAAGCTTACAAACAAACTTTCATATTTAAAGAAATGGAATGGGATGAGGTTTTTATTATTTTTGTTTGATATTGCTTAAAAATTTACTATAGAAAAGACTTCTAACAACAGTATCAATTTCTGAGATTCAAACTTTACCTTGAAAGGCAATGAAATTTCTACCAATTGGTTAAAGGAAAGATGTGCTTTTGGGAGAACGTGGACTTATTTTTCCACCAATCCCATCCAACAAATTATAGGGATGGTGTTGTTCAGAGGGCAGTTTACCTCTTCCAAAGACGTATCTAATTTCAATGCAATTAGAAAAATTCAATGTGAAAATAAGTATTCTTAAGTTTTAACCAGTATATTCGTCAAGAATAGAATAGCCATGACAAATCAAAGAAATTTGAACTGAACAATTGGTGAATGTCTTCAATGATGTTGGAGAACTAAGGTTATTTCCATTTCATAATACCAACATTTTGAAAAAGTTTACAAAAGATTCTGTACTCTACATAATTTTAGAAGATTAAATATTAATATTAAAACTTAAATGAAAATTCTGATAAACGAAAAGGAGTTTATCAAGAATGTCAAAGAAATTCACATAAATGAAGAAAAAACAAAGCAGCCTCTGGCTGTGAGAGAGAGATGAATGGTTCCAGTAAATATCCACGAATACTTGAAAAATACAATAGAAATGAAACGGGTTCGATTATGACGAAAAAATGCAAATATTTTATTTTGTTTATCTTCATTTTCTCACACTAGAGTTACTGCAATATTCTTATAACCCATGCAATGCATTTGAAGTCTTTTGACCAAGGAGAAAGATGCAGTATTGACGTGTGGCGTTTCAGAACAACCAATTTCTCTTGCTTCAGAACTTTTTCCACATATTCATCTGGAGAATTTCTGCTTCAGACCACAGCACTGTACATGTGTACTGTTATACATTTCGCATGAAAGATGAAAATGAAACAAATGTGTCTGCAGATTGGCATTTGGATTTGATTTATATATTCAGGTGTGTCGAATGCTAAGGTCTTTAATATAGTAAGTGTATAGCATGAGTAGCATTTGTATCCGTGGTGGTGTCAGTGAACTTCCCCAGATAGATGGCGAGATCTCGGTGATATCTCACTTGTCGCCTCGCATGGTTTTAAGCAACAAGATGCCTCACTAGTTGGGGCAAACTCTAAGCTCACAACTGATCTCTTGACATGGTATGCTATAGTGTAGTGAATGTAAGTGGGTGTGTGTGTACGTAAGGCGTGAGAATAGGGCAAGGAAGAGGAAGGAAAGATCACGCGAAGTCTGTGTCCCGTATGTTAGGGATCTTCTCCGGCATTCGCCTGGTGTTGATCGGAGAAACCATGGAAATCTACAGATGAGAACAGCCGGCCGCTGAAATTCTCCATGTATATGAGAATTTATCCGTGTGGTAAATAAATGTACTTGACTATCACGAGAACCGAGCCTATACGTCGTATTTTTGTGTTCAGGGTTGGTACGTATTTTGTTTCCTAATGGTTGACTTACAGTTGGTGTCACAGCCTGCGAACAGGCAAAGGCCTACCTGCAGCGACTAGGCGTCGCGGCCAGGGGTTAAGGAGTAAGTGTGGTTAACACAAAGACTTCCTCACGCCGTATTCTAGTCTTCTAAACCTGAGGAGTGAGTATTCTTATCGTCACACAGCAACATATACTGGGACATTGCAAGAAAAACGCACACTATAATATTGCCCGACCGGAAATCGATCCCGGAGTCGCATCATAGAAAGGGAATTTTTAAATTGTCCTTATAAAAAATTATTTCAAGAGAGTTACTTAAATGATTTTGGAAGTGCCGGTCATGGATTGAACAGTTAAACGTAGTGCTTGGAATATAACCTTTGAATACGTTCTGATGGCTAAGGTGGTACCAAAAGTACTAGAACGGAAGGTGCTTTCAGTATATTTTCAGGCTGATTCCAGGTGAACTTTTCTAGTTGAATGTTCATGTCCAAATACTTGGTAAATAAGTGTCACTCTCGAAGTCTAGAATGAAATACTCGATCTCGTAGGTAACCGACTGAGTACTGGACATTCTGGTATTCGGATACGCTCTCCCGACTGAGCAGCAAATGGAGACTCTTCATTCTGGGATGAAGAAGAATACGTCTTTTCAATTTTATAGTCGCCAACACAGCAGCTTGATGCTTGTCGGCGAGGATTAAGCTATAAATTAAAAAAAAATCCTTATTTTCTAGTTTCCAAAATATTTCAGGCTTATTATGAAGTACGAAATGTGTAAATGAAGTGTTGAATAGAAACTACTCGTGAGTGAAACGACAGACATTGGCAAAGAACAATTTTAGCAAACAGTTAATTCAAAAATTACAGGACGTACGCGCACTCAATGAAAAGCCTTCCGCTTCTCAGAAAATAACTTTACGTTTAATTTAAAACCACACTTTATATCTGCTCTTCTTCGCCACTCGCCTCTCTTGTTTCTTGCTTTGTTACCCTTCCGCCCTTCCTCTTTTCCTCTCTTGTCAGTTAAGTATTATTTTATATTTTACTCGATTCTCACCGTAGGAGACCACGAACTTTCCAAAAAAGGAATAATTTGTGAAACTACTGGAGCTAAAACAACACGTACTTTCTCGCCCATATTTTCACGCAAAATCATGTAAAAAATACTCAAATTTTCGAAAAATTATACTTGATATTATTTCAAAATCTATCTTTATGAAAAGGATTTCAATAAGAGAAAAATATCTATCTTCAATATTTTAGTTGTGGGAAGTTTCCGAAAAACTTTTGCAATTTTCGAAAAATCAGCGTTATAAACGAACACGAGACCTGCACCATTCTCTTAAATTATTGGATTTCATATCAATAAATAGATAACCAATAAAGATAACAAAATTTTTAGATGAACCAATGATTATGTTTCCCTGTAAATGCTAGTATTCATATTAGTTTTCCAAATAAAATTTGAATAATTTTAATGATTACCCACTGATTATTTTTCTAAAACTCCTGACATATTTTAGTGCATTATTGCTTGCCTGTATTTGTCAAATTAAATGCCTTAACTTCAGGGCTCTAGTTGTATTCATATGTACTATTTAATTGTGTAGGTAGCAAATTGCTTATTACTTTGTATTTCAAAGGGATTTGAATAGTAGTCCATTATGAATTTTAATTTATTATTAATACTTAATTGCAAAAATTAAAGCTTACATTGAAGAATGGAAAGTAAATTAATTTAAATGCAAATAGGCAATGGCTAATATAAAGACTTAATTGTATTTAAAATACCATAAGAATAAAACAAAAAAATAAACCAAAATGAAAATAATGAAATAAAAGAAAATTGCTACTAAGAACGCATTAAGAAACATCCAAAAACATTTTAATAGAACGCAACACATGCTAAGAACGTGCAAAACGCTGTAAGGAATACGTTGTGTTCAAATATCGAGTGTGTCGCTATCTATCGGTTAGATCTCGAAGTTCGTATAGAATCTATATTTATAGATTCCATAAATTTGCTTCATGCAACTGTGCACGGCATATGGAACCTATAAATTTTATTGAACAAATAGCTATGGAACCCATATGGAAAGCTTTATGAAACCGGACCAGAGTCTTCTACAGTAGAAAGTGCGACACTTCGTCTTCCAGCTTCGACACCAGCATACGCCAGTTCGTTCAAAGGTTATTAGCAGAAAATGTCAATTACAGGAACTAATTACTCGTGTTCGGCCTCTGTAATAAGCGGGAACCTTCAGTCTTTTCGTCAAAAGAGCATTTGAATTCGGATCGAGTGTTCTCTTTTTGGTTCGTTCTTCTTTCTATGCGGTTTGAGCGCTGACCTCCGTCGGCTCGCCGCCCCCTTCACGGCCTTCCGTATCTCCCTGATCTTGTCCTTTCCCTCTTTCTCCATTTTTCC